ATATATTAGGGCTTAACAATTAATTACGCTTGCAATAATATTGCAATATGATAAAATGAGATTTTCTATTTGCAAAGGCTGCATTTTGACTGGTCACATGATCTGGTTACGTGACTTGTGAGTGAGTGAGCAGAGCAGAGCAGAGCAGGGAGTGGGAGAAGTCAACACTGCACTTTAACTGGTTGCACAGTGCCGTCAGACTCGATAGAAGCTGACACATCTGAAAGTTTGGTACCAAAGAGGAGCAGCACGTCCGTTGTTTGAATTATTTCGTCTATAAAAAAAGAAGACGCTGAGCAACGACATGTATTGTGCAGAACCTGCCTTGATGCTGTTGCTACCTCTCGAGGTAACACCACAAATTTTTATCAACAACACAAAATCATTTACGATAGTTGCACGACTAGAATGCCATGACCAGTGCTTCAACTTGAAGTAAGCAAAGTACCAGTTGACAGGGATCACTGACCAAACTGTTCAAAGGTTTTACTCCGTATGAACATAATTTGAAATGGCACGTGGAAATAACTTGAGCAACAACAGAGTTCATAGTGAAAGACATGATGCTCATTAATATAGTGACTAAGCCTGGGTTTACAGCTTTGGTAAACACAATGGACAAGCGGTACAGAATGCCCTCGTGCACTCATATTAGTCAAGTTGCTATCCTGGAGCTTATACAATAAATGCAGAAACAAAGTTGCAGCGGAGCTGAAAACAGTTTTTTGGAACTGGAACAGATTTATCGCTTGTGTTTGTTGAAAAATACATGAGAAGAAGACATTGACAAATAATCACATATTAAATTGCAATCACAATATTGAGGTTAAAAAAATCACAATTAGAATATATATATATATACATATATATATATATATATATATATATATATATATATATATATATATATACATATATAAAACAAATACATCTTCACTTTATTTTTTTAGGTCCATTTGTTTTCATAACTCCATGTCCATGCCATACTGCGAATGTCTCTTGGTGACACCATTGTGAAAAACATCAAAGTAAAACAGATTTATTTTGTACATTATTCAGATATCCTAATTGGTTGTGATTATATCATGTCCTGTTTGTCTCAGAGGGCCAACACACAAACAAAAATCAATACGTGTGTGTTTTTAAATCATGACAAACTACGTTTGTTTGGAGCCTCGTCCTGTTTTAGATTAGGTGCAAATAGACAAAGTGCAGTGAAGTATCAACAAATCAGTAACTCATGGTTAAAAACAGTGTTAACCCATTTTAAGCATCACGTGTTTTCCCTAAATTGATTTTGTCATTGATGTTTTAAGTGAACTGAGCCTTTACAGCCCTACATTAATGTCAATACCACGTTTGTGTCCAGGTCGCTGTGACAAGCACTCAAGTACTGCTGTGGCTTTAAAGGCTTTCTGAGGATTTTGATGATCTAAAAGATCAATGAAACGGTTAGCAGGTAAGAGTACGAGCATTAGAAAGAAGAATGTGCCATTTTATTTTTATAGCACATCTCAGTGACGTTTAAACTGCTTTACGGATTTACCTTGACTCTTTACACATTTGTCAAACTGAAGATAAGAACCAAGAGAAATGATGTGACAAAAATGCAGGAGCTATCTAAAAAAAAAAAAAAGAGTAAGAAAACTGAACATGAGGAAACAAAGATGCAACGGTGCATGCTGGTAAATGTAAGGAATGTAGAAACATTAAATCTATGTTGTTACAAGACTCTGGCATCAGGCACAGAGCAAAACTGACACTTATTTTTAGTCACAAGTGAAACCAGCCTTGGGAGCGTCTCCAAAGCCATATTTAAGTATATACCTCACCTACAGATTTTTCCATTCCCCCGATCCCTGCAGAAGCATTACATGTTCATTAAATGACTGCCAAAGGCTCAGCATCACTCTGATGCTTCTTCTGTGATTTGTGAGAATCGGTGGAAGTGACGCACTCTGAAATGCATAGAAAATCAGAGTCTCTGCAGGCATCGTATTGATCTAAACCCTGTACTTGTGACTCAGCAGTGACTAGCGCTGGCAGAATGTCACTCTGTGGGCTAAATCAAGGTAGGTTTTACCCTACACTATTCACTTTTTTTTCTCAGCCTATTCATAAATCTATTGTATAAAATTAACCATCCATCTTGAAGGAAGATGGCAACCTCAGCAATGTCCATGTTTGGTCCTGACTGTAAAGTTGACTGCATGAACTGAACAGAGCAAGGCTGAAGGACTCGTTCTAAGATGGAAGATTTACATGGAAACGCTTGTCTGTGCTTTAGATCTACAGCTGTAACCGTCAGCAGGAACATGTACGCATGCTGACACAGGATTAAGAGAAGCCCGTCAACGCAGTCCCACCATCAGTAAGAGGTCGACGCAGTGACAAATCAACAGGACTTTAAAGGACGTGGGTCTAATTGTTGGGTTAAGAGGAAACACGGTCTAATCAGAGAGCAGAGCTTTTCCATGTGCATTTACTAGACCAAGTACAAGTATTAATGAGAGGTATTTACCCATTTTTTAAAAATAAACTGCGATAATTATATGGAAGAAAATAGGTACAAAAAGCTCTTGTTTTGAACACTTCAAGCCAAAAATGATGGTGCCATTTACCAAAATGTCGACTCTCCATTTTTATCTACCTCCCACCAGCGACAAAGAGAAAACATAGACAGATAACAGAAGTCAAGTGACAGCTATTTAAGATAATTCTTAACTAAATCTTCTCAGACAAGCCAAGACTCCCACTAACATGGATATCAGTAGTTTAGAAACACTTTAAAATTATTTTGCTGAGACTAGACCAAAAGGATGACAAAGAGAAGAGATTAGGATTTACGATTAAAAACCTTTTGTACCTTGTTATGGTGAAAACAATTTGCATTTTAAACAACAAACCACAGATACTTTTCAGCAAAGCGACTAGAGACATTTTACTTCTTAAAATGATCTAGCTGATGAGTAAGACATCAAGAAAAGTCAGATTCGGTGCACGTTTGATCACAAAACTCACCCTTGAAGTTCTTTAACTGACATGGAGATCTTGAGGTTGTGTCCAAGAACATGAAGGGCAGTCAAGATGTCTGCCCACTGGACCATCTCTCCCAGAGGTCCCCCTTTCAGCACCTTTGGGCTAAAAACATCCCCAGACTCCTCAGTCAGGAAGCCCACATGGACCAGGATCTGAAAGAAAAAGACAATTTGGAAGAACATTAACTTCATGTTTATACTCTAATGCTTCCATCCCTTGGAACTTTGCTAAATCTGAATCATCAGACCATGGGATCTTTGTCCACAGCTCCACAGTCCAATTGTGATTTCTTACAACATTTTAATGAGACCTGCTATGATGTGTGACTTGCTGTGAGTCAAACCGTTTATTTCAATCCAATTCGGTTTATTTCAACAGCTCCAAGTCACAACAGAAGTTGTTTCAGGGCACTGAACAGAAACATTCATATACATAATAAATGTCAAGTAGTAAAAGTTATTGATCTAAGAAAATCAGCAGATTGTGTTGAATCTTCACTTTGTCACAGTCTCCCATCCTAAAGTCAAAGTCACTTTATTGTCAAAACTGCAACATGTACAGGACATACACAGGATTGAAATTACATTTCTCTCAGACCCCTGGTGCAACAATAACCATTTAACGTTAAAACATTTAATAAACATAAGCATAAAATGAATAATAAATCAATCAACCTTTATTTAGACAGGTAAATCCCATTGAGCCTCGAGGACTCATTTACAAGAGAGACCTGATTTCAACAAAGAAAGATGACAACAATGGACAACAGCAACAACAATAAACAATTATAAAAAGTCATATTGCAGGTTGTTGCTTTTTTTTTTTTTTTTTTTTACAAATAGGATGGCTGAAAGGAAAAGGTAACAAAACAAAAAACAAACAAACAAAAAAACCAGCTAGATTCTAAGGCGAATGTAGAAAACTAAAAACAGGAACATGTCTGCATTGGTCCTTGCCAGGAGTCCAACAGATTCTTAAAGCCACTTAGAGAGGTCAAGGTCGAGAGCTTCAAATCTTTTTGTAAGATATTCCAGGAAACAGGAGAGGAGTAGGAGAAGGCCCTTTTGCCTAGTTCAGTCCTCATTGAGGGAACACTGCAGGTAATAATGTCCTGAGAGCGCACTCCGTAGCTGCACTCACGCAGAGACATGTAGGAGGAGATGTATGAAGGCAGCAGACCAAGAAGTGTTTTAAATATGAAAATGTACCAGTGAGAGAGTCTGTGTGAAGTTAATGATGTCCAGTTAACCAGCGAATACTGGGTGCAGTGGTGGGTACGATAATCACAGCCAGTTGTGAATCTTAGTGCACCATGATAGACAGCATCCAACATCTGCAGGGTTCTTGTAGAAGCGTTCATCTAAATAATGTCACCATAATCAATTGAGGGAAGGAAAGTCACAGATACAAGGCGTTTTCTAGCATTCAGGGTTAGACAGGATCTGTTTCTGAAAAAGAAACCCAGTTTAACTTTCAGTTTCTTTACCAAGTTTTCCACATGGAGTTTAAAAGAGAGATGTGAGTCGACCAAGATACCCAAATATTTATAGGAATCAACAAACTCAATGGGGACACCATTTAGGATAAAATCGGAGGAAGAACTGCTGGGACCAACTTCCTATTTGAAAAAAGCATCCCTTTGGTTTTGTCGGCATTTAGGACAAGTTTGAGGCGGAACAAATCAGTCTGGATGTAGTTGAATGATGATTTCAAAAGCTGGAAAGCCTTAGCAACAGCTTTAGCTCGACAATAAACAACTGTGTCATCAGCATAGAAATGTGTGGATGCATTAGGGATGTTTTTACCTACATTATGTATGTAGATTGTAAAGAGGGTGGGTCCTAAGACTGAGCCTTGTGGTACACCATTGTTGACTAATATGGCGGTATAAAAATATTAAAAAAACTATATCTATAAAATAAGCAAGCACAAAGGAGACCGTGGAAAGGAAAAACTCCCTTTTAACAGGAAGAAAACTCCAGCAGAACCAGGCTCAGGACGAGCGGTCATCTGCTTCGACCGGCTGGGTTTGAGAAGACAGGAAGTAGAAACAGACAAACACAGAATGGCAGGTCCAGGTGTACTTCCTATTGGAAAAAAGACCCCCCCCCCCCCCCCCCACACACACACACACACACACATGTTAAGGACAGAAATGTTTACAAATACAAACAGAGCAAGTAAAGACAGCAGCAGAGTGAGGAAATGTAGTCAGTTTATCCTCCAGAAGTCTAAGCCTATAGAAGCATAACTAAGAGATAATTCAGGAAACCCAAGCCAACCCAAACTAGGATTTATCAACAAGGAAAGTCTTAAACCCAGTCTTAAAACTGGATAATGTGTCAGCCTCACGGACAGAAACTGGAAGATGGTTCCACAAGAGAGGAGCCTGATAACTAAAAGATCTGCCTCCCATTCTGCTTTTGTAAACTCTAGGAACCACAAGTAAACCTGCAGTCTGAGAGTGAAGTGCTCTGTTAGGAAAATAAGATCTTATATATGATAGAGTTCATTTGTTGAGAGCTTTGAATGTTAGAAATATTATTTTGAATTATATTCTGAATTTGACAGGGAGTCAATGGAAAGAAGCTAAAACTGCTGAGATATGATCTCATGTCTCCTCCTTTATTTAATTACATTTGATTTAAGTGATTCTGAATCACAAATATTTTTAACCAAATGTATTTATTAAAAATGATAGTTACCTTTTTAATCTCCAGTATTTAATGATGCATTTAAAGTTGATAGTTTCATAAATCTCCTCATTAAGGTTTGTTTGCTAAAGACCAATAATTAAGTTTTATATAACGAAGTATGATCAGTGTTTGAGGAATAAGGAGCATCTGAAACACATTCACCACTCTAGTATTTTTCTAAAGGGATGATCTTAGCTATCTGTATGACAGGTGATACCTATTACAAGGCCATGCAATGGAAGTTTTCTTTAAATATTCACCTATTTTTGCTTATGTTAATCTTTTTCCCAAACAAACTTGCAGTCAATCAGCCATCGTCACCTTGTTTAAAATCTTAATGGGTTTAGTTCAGTATTGCAAAATCGTCCTTGTACATTTAGGTTCCGTTTACCATTTTCTCCTGTCAGACATCATCTTGTTCTTTTGTCTTTCCATGTCTGATCCCTGTCTAGTATTAGATTTTTTTTTTTTACTGTCATGTATCCGAGTGAAGCCCTCACTAATCACAGCATCTACAGGACGATTCCATCTCTGTTTCATTGTTGAAGATTTTGGCTGCAAGTTTGGGACCTCATATGAATAAAATGCACCATATCAGATGCATTATTGATGTGACAGTGATAAAATCCTAAACAACATGTTGGTCAAAGCAACACCAAGCAACTGACCTGAAAATGATCCAAAAATGTATATCCACCAAAAATTATTTAGGTATTTTAAAGCTTGATATTCCAACTTGTTTTACATCATCTCATTTTCATATTTGTCCAGTTTTAATAAAGTTAGACTATTCCAAATTTAGAATTAATCTGTGCAAACATTTTAATGACTTTAAGAATTAAAATCATTACACTTTCAGACTCTTCAAAAAGGAAATTATGTCAGCTGGAAATTAATTCTTTGAAATCCCCAGTGAATTATCCCCCCATCCTCAGAAGAAACGGCACACCACCCATCCAAAAATCCCATATTATGGACTTATATTTTCAAAACCCATTTCACAAGCAGCATGTGCCTGAACAGATAACCACGGCAACACTTACTTTGGATTCAATTCATTTTGTTTTAAAACATTACTTAGAACATATAAAGGGATTATTATGGTATGTATGTGGTACTTTTGCACAATCTTGTACCAGGAAGCCACAGTCCTGTTATGTATGTCCAGTTTACTGCTACGTAATTAGTGGAACCCAGCGAGAATTGAGCAACATGTTACTTTTCACAGCGGATTAAACATAGCCTTGTCCAAAAGCTGCTCTGCTGAGTAATCCTGATTAACTAACACAACATGAACTCCTCCAGCTGCTTCTGCTGGCAAACAAATCCCATAACTTTGACCACGAAACATGGATAACGATTAAGGCCCACTGAGAAGTCTGCCAAAAGTTGTTTGTCTGTAGATATGTGTCCTTTATATTGATGTATATGCATCCATATGTCTGCTCTTAAAAACATCCTAAATGTGTAGGTAATGATGGAAAATTTCCAGCAGCATTTTAGAAGGGCTGCAAAAACTCTTATTTCACTCTGTTCTTTGTAATTATTTCCCTAAGCACAGATACTGAAGTGAGAGGAGTTAATGCAGGCAAATACACATAACAAACACACTTGTATGCATTTTTTGTTATCACACCTAAAGGTTGTTCTAGGGGCAGCTGTGGCTGAGAGGTTAGAGAATCTGTCCTCCAACAGGAGAGTTGTGGGTTCAATTCCACCAGCAGTCACATGTTGAAGTGTCCCTGGGCAAGACACTGAACCCCTCATTGCCTCTGATGTGTGTCCCATCAGTGTATGAATGTGATCTAAAAGCTCTGATTGGTCTCTACAGATTCAGATCATGTTTGAAGAGATTTAGTGAGTGTAGATCTAGTAGAATACTGTATGAATGTGTGTGTGAAGGGACATGAGGCACAGATTGTATTGAAAAGCACTTTGAGTATCCTAATTAGATAGAGAGGTGCTATATATGTACAGTCCATTTACCATTCCACAAATCAAGAAAAATAGCCTGTCTGCCTAATGGAAGTCAAAAATTTGATTTCATGAATGAAACTCTTCTTGAGTCAATAATGGTCAATCAGGTCATCTGGACAGTTTCTTTTTTTGTGGAAAAACATGTTGCCCTCTATCCGGAGAGCTTCATCGGTCTGAGGAGTCCCAAGTAAACTGTTTTCCCCTCTAAGCAGTACACGCCTTTAGTGGGCCAACCAGTTTGCTGGTGATAAAATGGTTTCTGGATGCTGTCCTCTCTCCTGTCAACTCCTCCTAGGCAGGCAGCCACAGCCAAAGTGGTTCAAGACATCAAAGTTCATGCTCAATCATCCAGGTACAAAATCCACTGATGGTCAATCAGGTCGTCTGGACAGTTTCTTTTTTGTGGAAAGACATTTCGCTCTCTATCCGGAGGGCTTTATCAGTCTGAGGAGTTCCAAGTAAGCAATGTGTTCCCCACT